AGGTAGCACATACAGAATAATTTTGTATCTAACATTTTATTGAAGATGTATAGAGGTTGGGGTGAGGATCACAGTGTTATATGTATGCAGAAAAAACTGGGGAGCAGGGGTGGTTAATTGGTCCTGCTGCTTGCTCTTTTTTATTTCTTCAGAGTAGTGCCTTCTTTGCCCACAGCAAACTGTATTTTGATATGGTGGTTTCTCCTTTCTTACATTATTGTTAAGATACTAACAAAATATATTTCCCCATATATAAGTTTACTCTGGTTTTTTAAAAAATGTTTACCTATATGTTTTTATAAAAGAATAATGTGTTTTCTTCTTAAGAATAAAGTGTTTTGGGCCAGCCAGTGATGCGGTAGTTAAAGCAGCTGGATCCCACTTGGCCGACTGCATGGGACCTTGTTGCCTTAGACAACATTCCAGGCACCTGGACAGCGAAGCCCAAAATCCTGACAGGAGAATGGAGAAGAAAGAATTACGTGTGGCTATGCCCCTGGGGGGTGCTTTCTCACTACCCCCCACCCCACAGTTATCTCTCTATAGCCAGTGTACTAGCCCTCTAGCAATTTTTTTTTTTTAAGTATTCTAGAGGGCACCAGTTGCCAGTAAATCCTTATCAAGAGCAGCAAGGAGTGAAGTAGGATTCAAGGCCTGTCACCTTCCCAAATCTCAGCCCAGGTCTTTCCTAGCCACCCTGATAGGAACCCAGCTCAGATGCTCAGCGTGAGATTTGTTGGAATGGTCTGGGTTGTATTGGGACCAGCAAATGGTGAATTGGTTACGTCGCTGGACTCCGATGTAGTCGACCGCAATTCAAGTCCCAGGCTTGATGGCTTAAAACTCATGCTGGGCTCATGTATGTGCATGCCCAAAATCCCAAGAATGGATTGCAGTGTGGCCATCATCCCTGGGGGCGTGATTTCTCACTTTCTGTCTCTCTGTTTCTGTCTCTCTGCCAACCTCATATGCCCTACAGCAAAAAATATCTCTCTGGGGAAAAAAGGGGGGGTGGGGAAATGGTTTGCATTCAGGAGAATTTCTGTGAGCTTCCAGGCCTCAGAGATGAGGTATGGTTTCCCAGGTGGTTTACTGACGCAAAGAGCCACACCAAGAGCCCAGTGGTATCCCTTCTTAAGAGCAAGGCTGAAGGCTCAGGGAAGAAAGCCTCCCCCACAAGAGAAGTCTCCCTTTTATCTTCCTTTGCCTTCTCTTTTCTCCCCCTCACCTCCCCCATCAGGCTCTCACTCTCTCCTCCTTTCTCCTCTTTCACTGACATTTGGGTTCTAAATAGTTACACTGGGTTTAGGGGCTGGACACTTAATTAGGGTCTTCCAGCCCTGTGTCCCATCACAAGTTGGAGTTCCCAAGTTGCTTCGGGAAATGGCAGGATTAAACGTGGCTTTCTTTGTTGCTCCTCTGGTCAACTCTTGATAATCGCTGTGATCACATAAGGCTGGAGAGGTGATTCTCTATTGTGGCTTCTGGGACCCAAGCCCTCCCTTCGATTTCTGAAGAAAAGACATGTTTTCCTTGATTTCCAGGAGCCGGGATTATAGTCAATATAAATAGGGAGTTATCCTGAACGGCTCATCTAGAGCTCTAGGAGACTCAGATGACTTCTCACTGGTTTGTTTCTTGTCTCTGCCTCTAGACCGAAATCCCCATGAGGGCAGGGCCTGTTGATATGAAAAGTCTGTAGGAAGTCAGACATTCATGGGGCCGGAAAGTGACATGGTGATTAAGGGCGCTGGACTCCCACATGGCCCACCGCGGTTCAAGTGGCTTGCTCTCTCTCTTTCTCTCATCATTTTTAAATAAATAAAAAAAACTTAATAAAATAATTCTTTAAAAAAAAAATTAAAAGAAAGTCAGGAATTCCTAAGTCTAAGTCCCCTAAGTACAGTTCCTGGAAAGAGCTAATGGTATGTTCTTATTTGGATCTGTAACTCCAGTCTGTAAGTGCAGGCACCTAAGAGTTCCAGAATGTTATGGAAAGTTGAAACTTCAACTTTTCTCAAGAAGCCTGTAGATCTCTGAAGACTGGAACATCACATGCTCACTTTTCTCTGAGAAAGGCCTCTGCTCCTTCCTTGATCTGCACCCTGGGCAGACCTGGTGCGGAAATGCCATCCACTTCTTTGGAAGGAGAGAGCCTGCCCCTGTGTCTCCAGGGCTCCCTGACACAAGTCTTAAGATCAAATGCTGGGGCCAGCAGGTGGCGTGGTGGTTAGGGGCACTGGGCTCCCATGTGGTTCAAGTCCTGGACCTCCTCCTGGCTTGCTTTTTCGCTTTCTCTCTCTCTCTCTCTCTCTCTCTCCCTCCCTTCTTCCCTCCCCCTCTCCCTCCCAGTCTCCCTCTCTATTCAAATTAAAATAAGTAAATACATAGTTAAATAATTATTTAAAAAGAGAGAGAGAGATCGAGAGAGAGAGAGATCAAGGGGCCGGCAGGTGGTGTGGTGGTTAAAGGCGCTGGACTCCGACATGGCCAACCAAGGTTTGAGGCCCACACCC